TAATTAAGTAGATCACCAATGCAACCATCAGCAGCACAATGCTTTGTGCCATTAACCATCCCATCAATTACTCTCATGGTTACATTCCGCATCTGAACTGTGTTCTGTGCAGAAGTGGAAGGATCATTATTTGGGTTCAAAACCACATCTGATGTTGCTCGATATGGTTGTGAACACTCAGCACATGCATGACCTTTAGCTGGTTGAATTAAACCACCATTTCCTAAAGCTGCAAAAGCTTCTTCTGTTACTTCCTCTATTGATGATACATCTCGAGTGACAAAATCAACCCCTGATATTTCAGATGCCTGCCGGATAGATTCCTGCATGAAAGCAGCCCACACCTGGCGGCGAGACAGTGTGATACAGTCATTGCCATAAGTGTCATTGAAATAATTTCCCCAGCCAGATGTAGATGCATGAAGATGATATATTCCATTCATCACTGAAGATGAAAACTTGCGGTCAACCCAAAGCTTCTGGCCAATTTTAATATACAATGCAGAGTTCAGATATAATTGCATAGCTTCAGTATTCACAGTTGAAGCTGTACGTTCATGATCTGCATAATAAATAGTTTCACAGTTGTTACAATATCCAGAAAGCAACTGAACATTTTTAAAGACCTCTGTGCCTTTGATTAAAGTCACTCTTGGAATATGGCGTGTTTGGGTATTTTGTTTTAAAAAACATCGCCCACAGCCTGCAGTTAAACAGACAGAAGAGTTTGGGCAAATCAACAGTGCTGGTTGAATGGAACTGTGTGATATGTGCTTCAAAGTACCAGTGAATTTTTGTTTATTATTGTATGGGTAAAGGCCCAATAAATGTGAGAATCCACCAAGTTTCACAGCTAATGATGAAACATTACTCTCTCTAGCAGTTGCATTTTTAAACATGGATAGCTCATGTTCTGAGAATAGGGTTTCTGCATCATTGTCACCAAGTTGTTCAATAATTGCACGTGCTAAACACTTAATCCATGATGTTGCCTTAGGTCCAGGGTTTTGTTTAAAATTGAGAGAGAGAAGCTCTGTATTGTTGGTCATTGACAGCAACATCATGAAAACTGTTGGCAGAGATATTTTTTCACCAAAGTTGTTGATAATGAAGTCACTAAAGTCTTGAAAGCTTATGTCTGGGAATGGAGCAGACTGTGGGCTTGCTAAGACATGTGGAATCAAGAATGTCATCCACAAAAGCAGAGCTAACTGAGAACTCAGTCCAGTGAGAGCAATCATGTAGGCCAAAAAGCTCAAGTTGCCAGCAAGACCATCCAGATAATAGGAAAGAACCAGTGCACCCAAAAGACCGAAAAGATTCAAACTACTGTACAAATGAAAGTCATGAGAAATACACAGATGGTAGTACAAAGATAAGACCTGTCAAGGTTAGCATACTTACTATTTGCGCTTGGAAGATCCACTCTG